GCTGGAATTGTCCTCCAAATAGTTCATAATAGGACCACACAGCATGCTGGTCTGCTAAAAAAGAATATAATCTTTTTTGTACATTTGTACATACAGATCCATAGAATGATTGTCATACTAGCTACATAGTTCTTGACCTTATGAAAGTTTGAGAGGAAGAGTTCAGCTTTCTAATGCACTTAAAATCGAGCGTTTTGAGGCAGATTTGACAAAGTTATAGGTGTTTTCAGAAATCAAAAGTTTCTCTAAACACTAATGAGCCAAATTTCAGTGCTTGTTACAGGTTGTAATTGGATGATTATGAAGGTTTATTGTTAGTACACTTATCAATACGGACTGTAAAAATATGGAAAAATATGGAGAGTGAAGCTCTCACCGCAGGGAACAAGATGCATATTTTTATTTATTTTTTGCCCTTCTCCTGGCCTCTCAATATTTTTGTGTATCAATAATTTAATTTTCTGCCCAGAAAATATTATATTTTGTGTAGTGTCATCACGTTGAAAGCATAGAAGTTTTTCCTTGTCCAGTAGTCCTCCGGATTTCTAACGGGCGCAAAAGCAAGTGGCATGAGAGTACCATCCATAAAACCCACCGTATCTTTGAAAACTGTATCTTTCATTTTTGATTTCAGTTGTTTTCGTTTGTTCTCTTTGGGCCAGAATACCCAGTCCTTTTCAATTTGAAGAATGGCATAAATACATTGATTTGTCCAATTATGGACACTACCTTCTAAACAAATGAATCGGATCAGTAAATGAAACCAATGTTTCCCCAAAATGAAAGTTCACTAACCTGAAATGTGAAACATGTAAGCCAAATGTGACAGATCACCACCATTTCCCGATGATCCCAGATTCGCTAGAGCCACCAAAAGCTGCCATGACACGGGGACTTGCTTGTTGTGTGATTGATTATGAAATACCTTACAAGACCGAATCAAATCCACTAATTTCCAAAAGCGTTCCTCGCTCATTCAAGCCTACCAGTGAAAGTCCACCATTAATCAATAGCAGACACCACGAAAAGATCAGAAGACACACTGACTATAGCTATAAATGAATCGCCGCCTTCCCAAAACTTTTGCGGAAACACTGAGTTTCCTAAAGTTTTCCGTGCGCGCGATCTCCTATCTTGAACATAGCGGGTTGAAGTTAAGATTTTTAAAGCCTCTTCGAGCCAATCAAGTCCGTTTTGATTTATTTCACGTAGACGACGTCCGAGTAGCACAAGCTTGACAGACTGTGCTCTGGTCAAGTGGTATTCCAGCGCTGCCAGTAACAAAAGATACAACGGCTTCCTAGCCTCAAAAGTATCATCAGCATCATGCTGGTCATCTAAAAGGGCCTCTGATTGTAAGTCTTGATGCGCGATGATTACTTGAAGACACCGAAGGATGAAAAGGCTTTCAGAATTGCTCTTTTTCCGGAAAGCTAAAGATAAAAGGTCCGTTTGTGAAACCAGATTCTTCTCATGAATTTCCAAGTGAATGGACTGTTTCAGAAGTCGTCGTCGGCTTTTTCGAACCATGGTGGGAGGAAAGGCAGAGTCAATTGGAGATGCGAGACTGAGAAGTGCTGAGATGTGAGAAAAGTGATGAGATTGGGTGTTTGATGTGAGTGGGGATGAGGTGTGTGGTAGCGGAGTTTGTGTTGTGGTTCATGTACTCTCAGGACCAGGTGTCTGGCATGGGGAATTCAAAGTTCCAGAACGCCAGAACCCAGCCAAAAAAAAAAAACCTCTGGTGTTCTGGAAAAAACATTCTGGAAATTTCCAGAACGATATTTGTGTACCGTAATTGTATGTAAAAAGATAGAGGGCAAAAGTGTAACTTGGTCATGTTCTTTTACATTTTTACACTCAATAATTTACACATGATTTCTTACACTTCAGAAAATCAGTCAGATTGAGTGTAAAATTGCATCTGACCCCTCTACACATTGATTTTTACACTCAATGAAATTTACACCCAATATTGAGTGTAAATTGTTGAGTGCAAAAATCTCTTAACCCGTAAACTATACCACATATTGTGGATCTCTCTTATTGGTCACAATTAACATATTGGTTTACACACCAGGCTTTGCTTCTTCTTATTTGATAATTCCCAACATTGATATGTGTATTTATAATTAATTATACTGTTTGGATATTGTATTTCACCTATATGGAAAATGATTGCATTTGATGCAGAGTCTGATTGAAAATGCAGAATTAATGCAGAAAAATGTTGAATCAATGCATCATGTCTGCATTTTCCTTCATTTTTGGCATCAAATGCCGTCATTTTTCACGGGGGTGAAATACACACGCCGGTTACCAGCCCGGTTCGCGGCCTCTATTTTCAAAAACACAAACGTGTGCAGTCGCTAAAGCCAGATGCCAACTACCCCTTGCCCGCAAAATCAAAATTTCAACTTTGACCCGGTGTTACCCTAACTCAATTCTACACTACACTCTATACCAGGACATTTATGGAATGGGCTGAATGAGCTCAATCTGAAAATGTGAAAAAAAATCAAAAAAGTTGAACGGTTCATAAGTTGATTATTATTTTTTACTAAAATTCCCACATTTTGGGACCTAAGCATATATTTAGGCTGTATTATGCTAATAAATGTAGTACCTTAGCCACCTAAGTACTTAGGCCCGCTAGCTTAAGTACTTAATAGCTCTAGTTGTAACAAAAGGTTGGCCACAAAATCAGATCAATTACCACCTTGAACACTGGTTTTGACTAGTTGGAAGTCTGTTGGGCCTTATAGAGCCTTGTTTGAGCCCTGAAAGCTATAATTCTGGTATAATATGATGGGTTCTTGAAGATTTGAAGATGCTAAAAAACTATTTTTTTGGAAATTCAAACCCCCAAAATTGGGACCGGGGCCGGCCCCGGGTCGAAAGGGTAGCTGAATTCAGCCTTTAGCGACTGTAAGTGCAAGCTACATGAAGGCATTTCATTGGATGTTTTGTATGTTGTAAGTGAGTTTAAAGCCAATTACGGTACTCAAAAAGACTAGGTCCGTGCCAAACTTATATAAGTCCACCTCGCATGGCCCCGACGGTACAGGTACCAAGCGAGTGGGACTTATGTAAGTTTGGGTCCGTGCTACCTTTCTTGAAAACCTGCTTTCAAAATGTTGTTTTTGCGGAGAAAATGAACCGTACAGAACTCCAAAAAAAAAGTTCCAGAGAATTCCCAGGAATTCCCCTGCAAAAAGATCAACTTTGAATCTATAGTGGCTCTCAAACCTGCCCCGGTTTTCAAAAAACCCAGTTGACCCAGTTGTTTTTTGGCAGTAACTTTGTGTATCAAGTTGACATTTGTTGACAGCTCCCAGCCAAAAATTCAACTGGGGCAACCGGGTTTTTTGAAACTGGGTCAGGTTTGAGAGCCACTTATGTTTTTCACATTTTTTGAAAAAGGTGGCTTGAACCTAGTGGTTTTATGAAGATAAGATCGGAGATCTTGACCTCTCATAATCTGTTTCAGAATGATGCCAAGTGTCGTGTGCGAATGACTTACAGGCCCGATGTCCAGACTTCAAGGTAGATTTGTAAGTAGTCCGGCTGGACATCACGTCCCATCTACGATCTTTCTGAGGAGCAAGTGATTCACCTCTGACAATGTGAGATAAAACCAAAGGTCTGAGCAGGTTTGACCATGGTCAAAGGGATTGATATGAGATTGCGAGATCAGTGTTTGAGATCTAGAATAAGATAAAGCTGAGAGACCAAGGATGACTCCGAGATGCTGTTTTCCATCATCTCGATGCCTTTGGGTACTACTATCACTGGTTAAGGTGGCTAGTGCTTCTAAAGTAAGAGATCTTTTAAATCTGGCCTCCTCTTCCGCTTATTGTCTAATTTGGTTTTTACTAAGGAAGACTAAAGTTCAGCTCTTGGTGTGTGAGCTTTAGCTGTGACGCTCCAAGCTTGGTCAATCTCGCATTGAGCGGAATGGTCGGGATGGTCGGGATGAGGCATCATGAGATCGACGGAACTCTTATACTGGGTATCATTGCACTCATTTTACTTCTCGTCTCCCCTATCTTTATCTTCAATCGATGTACCAATGATCGAATTCCGGAAACCCCCTTGTATCATGCAGTCCTTGATGCAGTTCATCATCATATCGATGTTGGGATGCCTCATTCAAATAGTCACACCACTCGAACCCATCGCACGCGAACTCGGAGGGTTAGACATGGCCAGAGGTCAAACGGTACGGGGATATCCTGTGCTTCATCCTATTACCGGTCTTCCATTCACTTTACCTCGCGGAAATGGAATCTCCGAAGTGACTGGGGGTCATGCAATGATCATACCTGTACATCATGGAGGACCTCCTACAACTAAGTCTACGCATCACTCGGGTATGCAAGAAGCATCCCATCTATCAAACGGAATAGTACGACAAGATTCTACGCCATTGAGTTCTCATCACGTGCCTCATCGTAACGGAAAAGTCCCAGCAAGGCCGATTGATTTTCAACTTCGTTCGATGGATCAAAATCGGTTTCACGCCCAGTCACTTGACTCATCAAGCCTTTCTATCACATCCCCGAGAAGTCCCGGCAGCAAACCTTTAAATCCTATGGCGCAAGTATTCAAACCTGAAAACATGCCCGACGATTTGAGATACCTCAGAGAAGATAAGTGCGTTGGACTGCGGATGTTCTAATGGCAATTCTGATCAGGCTTGAAATAGTTGTTTGAAATTTTGACATGTTTGCTGTGTTTTGTCTTGAACAGTCACTGGTGGTATCGGGATGCGGAGTCATCGAGCAGCTCGAGCCGTTCAACCGAAGATGAGCTCATCAGGCCAAAGAGCCACTCCCCCGCTAAAGTTTGGGAAGATCCGATGGATCTTGAATTCTACAATTCCTTCCTGAGAAAATCTGAAACGCCGCAAATGAGAATGGATGACGGTCAACAACTCTCGGGCAAAAAAGATCGCGTTGCTGAACCTTTAGAGAAGCCCAATGTAGGCGAAGTCCTTCAAACTTACCTCAATACCAAAGGGGAGAAAGAATCGATAGATCCGGAAACTATCAGTCTCAACCACTTGGACTTGGAACCTCAGAGTACGCCAAGTAGTCCTGGTAAACAAGATAGCGTACATGAAGCCCAATCCAACAACAAGTGAGTGATATCTGATTCTCTCGTTGATGTTCTAGAAGAAGCAACCTAAAGAATTATACTCACTCAAATAGGGATATAGAGGAAGATTTGGCAACCGTCGAAGAAGGTCAAAAGATACCGCCAAAGAAAAGGAACCCTGGTACGCGAAGAAGAAGAAGGCTGCGTGCTAAACAATTGAAAGAGGCAGAAAAGTCATCAAGCGATAAGACTGAAGAACATGTGATGGACGACGTCGAACTCGATCGACAAAATGAGGTCGAGGATGATATCAGACCTGAGTCTGAAAAGCAACCAAGTATGAAAACCCACGTAGACTTCGATAAAGAGAGGAAAGATATGGGAGAGAAAGAACCAAGGGTCTCAGTACCTCTCGTTCTTTCAGGAAGCGATGAAGAAAAGGCCCGCCGTGTTGATGCGCTTCCTAGAGTTCCGGATCTCGAGAAATTTTCAGAAGCGCTTCACCCATCACCTTTGAGAATCGAGAAGATGCATAGTCTTACTCCAGATTCACTTCAATCGAAAGAAATTCCTGCATCTGCGCATCGATTTGAGGAAACTGGACCGCTAACAACGGGTAAGCAGACCTATGAAGATGATGAAAAATCTGAAGTCGCACAGGAAAAAGCGTCACTTCAACCTTCTGTCCATGAGATGTAAGTGAGTTCCGTTTTTGGATCTTTCAAGTCTTCGACTGAGTAGATTGTTTTGTTAGTCATGCGCCTCACACCTCGGTTGATCACGATGCTTTCAAAGACGAAATTCCACCCACTGCCAATGCGCACTCACTACCGAGTGAGCATCATGATCATTTTGCTGCCAAAAAACCTTTGTGGGGTGATGAAGTGGATGATCTCATTCCACTTGAAGCAACACCACCGACCCTGGAATCTTTACCAGAAACAGAACAAGAATGGCAAAGAGCTTGGGATGAACTCAAATATCGAATGATTAAAAATCGAAACGCTAAGCAAACTCGTGTTTCTCGAGCAAGGAAAGCACTTGGTACTTCGAAAGCCGTACATACAGACCTGCCTCCGGCTCTGGCCGATGGAATCTCAGACAGTGAAATTGATTGGTCAATCATGTATGATACCTTAGCCGGCCATTCAACAAAACCAAACGATATCGGTTTTGCAAAACCTGTTGACTCGCAAGCTGAGCACGATGAACCCGTTATTCAAGAAAAAGCTCATCAAAACCTTGAAAAACTATCACCATCCTCTGTCGAATCAGATGGTTCAAATTGGTCGATTTTGAATCCTATCTGGTACAATGGCTCGATTTCAAAACGAATTCAACGAATGTTAGAATGGTTAAAACCTTTCAAGAATCGTCCTTCGACTGAAGAATTCACCACAGGTACTGCTGATGTAACCAAACATCAAGCAAAAAGTGTTCATGTTCGAGTCAGATTGTGATAGGGCTTCATTTCAATGTGATAGAAAGCTTTCGAGTAGATATAAACAACTCGTGATGGTATCAAGTGATCTAAAGATCTGGAATAAGTGGTCTATGTATTAAAATATGTGCTCAAAGCTGTTAGATTGTAGAACTTCGAATCCGTAGCATATTGGTGAAAATGGTGATGCATCGGAAAAAAGAGCGTTTGAAGAATATGCTTGAGTTGTTGTCCTGCTTAACCAAGCTTGAATAGATCTCTCTCTCTCTCTATAAAATATCAGATGATTTTTTCTCTTTATTTCTTCGTCCCTTTGTTCTCTCACTTCATCTTTTCTCCCTCTTTTTGTTAATCTTTTGCCTTACATACTTCGGATACAATGATGGTAAATAAGTTTTTGCGTACTTGTGCCTCAACGTCTGTGAACCAAGGTGAAAAGTTTTAAACCTTAATTGCAGTAGATTTCTTAGCAATTTTTTAGAGCCTTGAAACAGCGTGTACTGGCCTTTCAAAGTCCAGATTTGAATTCAAAAGATTCGAAACTTGAGAAATAAGCAAGAAATAATTTTGAATAATACAACTTTGTGAACTGTTCTGTGAACACAAGATTAGTGAAGCTGATTGTTTAGCACACATCATACAATTTAACACAAGGCCTTCAGGACAACTCACATTAACATCACACTGTTGACCCAAGAGATTTGCTTGCTACATAAATCATCTGAGGAAAGCTTGGTCGCATTATTTTTTTTTCTGGAAAAATGACGCATGTGATTCATACATAACCCGATTCCCGACCAATCTGTATGTAGCCGGGTCGCCACCATGCATGTCGAATCCCGATCACTCTTGAACTTTTCCTTCAGTTCATTCTTCACTTCACCTTCCTATCCAACTCATCACCATCACCAACAAACCACCCACAAAATGAAACTACCCCGCTCACTAAAACCAATCTTACCAACCAAACCCTCGTTCCATCTCAAACCCTCAATACTTTCGCACCGATATCAATCAACTTTAAATTCATTTTCAATCAATCCAAACCAAAACCAAAATCCTGAATCTATCCAAATCCAATCAATTACCAATTCTCATTTTAAACTAACAAACGATTTACATTTGTTTTTTAATTTTAATTTATTGATTCCAATCTCATCAAATTCAATTCCATTGATTTGGAAATCTTCAAGTCCTCAAATTCATAAAGATTCACTTGAAATCTTTAAATTTTTATTTCCTCGTCCAGGTAAGAAAAAGTTTAAGAACCTTTATTTCTGAAAAATTCCGTTTTTATCTTTTGGTTTGGAAGCTGAGATTGACTGGTTTTTTGTGTGTGTGTGGGGCAATGGCGGATGGAAATAGATTTATTAATTATAGGTACAGGTGAAAGGCTTCAACCTATAGATCCATCAATACGTGAATGGATTCATTCACTAGGAATCCAACTTACAGTCCTAGACACCGTTAGTTGTTCTTCTTCCTTTTCTTTCTTCCAATCGATTTCCAAACCAAAACTATATTGATGATTTTTTTTGGTTGACTTTTGTAGCGAAATGCTGCTTCAACTTATAATCTTTTGATCGATGAAGGTAGGAGTGTAGGCGTTGCATTACAAGCCATCAACCCACCTAAATCAAATACTTGAAATAATTATAATATATATCATGTTTGGATTTACTATGTACTACAAGCTTGAAACACTATCCATTTAATTATCAAAATCTAGTGACAAACAAACAAAATGACATAAAAAAGTATTATATCTGTTGAGCAACTGCATCCACAATCTGTTTGATCACTTCTGACTCAACATCATTTGGCAACTCAAGTTGTCCATACTTTTGACCAACAAGGATACTTTGTAGTTGATCTGTGATCTCTTGCTGATCAAATCTGTCAGATACTGAACTCGAGATCAATTCAACATTATGTATCTTGCCTTGTCGGATATTAAGATGTATGTCCTATTGATTGATCAATGAACCCAAACATGTCAAAATCGATCAAAACTTTGGTCGAAGGGTCTGGAAAACAAGATGACAAACCAATCTGGAACCAAACAACTGAACCGGGATCGTGTTTGAAAATTCTGGTGTTTGACCAAAAGTCCAATCCCAGGACTAGATCATTCCAAACAAGAAATAGTCTTCAGAATAGATTGTAAGAAATCATTCAAAGAAAGACAAACCTGTAGTTCTTTCATCTCATCTTCAATCGCACTGTCCTGTTCAAGTTCTTCAGAATTTATAACCTAATGTCCAAGTTGAGCAATATTACTACCAAACGTAATTAGTGATCAGAATCATTAAAGCAGAATACATACTACTGGCGAAAGATCAGGATCAAGAGTAGGATAATATGTTTCCAAAAACGTTCGAGTAAGTGAGTTTGTAAAACTCGTATGATCAAGGTTACTAAACCTGCTAGCAAGGTTAGTGACAGGTGATCGAACCGAATCAGTGGCTCTAGAAACGATTTGAGACTATAGAATTTCATATCAGAAGATAGATTCGCCAAAAAACTTAAAAGAAGGATGTCACTTACTTGATTTGGATTTAAGAAATCTTTAAGTTGAGATAAGTTTGAGTTGATTAACATCGTACCATGATGATACGATCGATCTCTTGTAAGTTTATAAGCTGAACCTGAAACCTTTGAATTCAACAAAACACCAATTCCAAATAAACCATTTGTAATTCATACCCCCCCAAAAAAATCAGTTTCTACAAACAAACAAAAACTCCCTTACCTTATCTGATCCTAAACAAATATCATGTCGATGGTTTAATCCGATATCAGGTAAACCTAATGAAATAAGTGATCGAGTCACCAGTTCTCCAGTAGTTTTACGATCAAACATTCCTCTTGGGATCATAATTGAATAATTTGTATTTCCTTCATCCTACCTCCCCCCACCAAAAAAAAAGACAAAGAAAACTATTAGAGATTTAAGATCAAATGTAGAGTTAAATTGATTGATTGATTGATTTACAAACAGACATGATAAACTGTTCCTCCTCCACTTCTTCTACGAAGAATTGGTACATCATTTTTTTTCAAACTAACAAGATTTGCTTCAGTCCATGGATTCTATTCGATTGAAAACAAAAGAAAAGGTTAGTTTTATGATGAAGGGTATAAAAGTAGGATAAATCTTATACTTGATTTCGACCGATTATCACACTTTTCGTATTCCGATAAATCATGAGTTTAGGTAAAGAAGCATCAGTGTTTCTAAATAATCTATTACAAAACAATCATATAAATCAATCTATTGTTTTTTGAATTTGTTAGATTTATGGATTCAACTTACACATCTTCATAAGATAAATTGAAATAAGGATCCAAAGAATTCGATAAATAAACTGGATGAGGTTTAAGAATCTGAAGAAAGTTAAGGCATGATTCAGTTTACATATTCTTAAGTAGATATATAATTAGAAATGAAGTGCTACTTAACTTGTTTGGTTGATGGTTGAGTTGATAAGTTTCTTTTAGGATTCAGAATCGATTTGAACTTCATCTTGACTTTTCAACTTTTACGATCCGATCTCACTCAAAGAGTACTTTCATCTGGTACCGTAACCGTAACATGCTCGGTCCCTCGCCTGTAGCCCCGGACAAACAGAGGGCCTCGCTCGGGGTTTTCTTCAAGTTCTTTTTCATGAAGATCAACTCAGCTGAAGCAACATCACTTCTTGATCTGATTTGTGATCACTACATCATTATCATACATCCAACCAGCCCAAGTGATCCAACCAAGCCGTGGAAAAATCTACCTAGCGATTCGAATTCGGCCTCAGATGGTCAATCGACTATATCGTCTCTCTCCGATTCTGACTCCGATTTGAACCGTTACCCAACACCTATCTTGGATGAAAGTGCCAATTGGCCGAACCATTCTGATTCAAGCTTAATATCTCTTGCTGATCCTGATTCGAGATCGTTACCTGTCTCTGCTCCGTATGATTTGGATCATCATGGTCATTCGGTTTTGAAAGAAGACCAAACCTATACTTCGTCTCCTATGGAAGACCTTTATCTCAAATCAATTCTATCGAACAACAGCACACGGAGCTTAATGGTGCCCTTGCAGATACTTCGGCTTATTATATAGCACATTCAAAATCGATCACTGTTGATATCAAAGAATTTGAAAGGCTCGGACTCATATGTGAGTTCAACAATATCCGATGCAAGCTCAACCTTGCCAACCCAAGTCTTGCACTTTCCCAGCGTCTTTTGATACTGTCCTCTCCTACTGGATTCGCCAAGGGAATCCATCATGAAATGAACGTTCAGATTATCTTACTGCTAGAACTCGATCTGATGCAGCTCACATCATTTGTGAACGACGTTTCCCAATCAATCATGATTAAATCAGCGTATCGAAACCATAGCTTTGGATGCATCACTCTCAAAGAGGAAAATGACGGGTTTGAAAAGATCAGACCAACCCGTCCTCTTGAAACCACACATTGCTTCTTTCGCAAGCTGATGAGAGGATGTTGAATCATATATGTGGATCTTAGCTAGATTTTATTGACCTTTTCAATGTTCGTAGAGGGGCTATGAAAGGCTATGAAAGCCCTACCTGACCCAAACCTAAAAAACTCAGCTTTGCATGTTTCGTCGAGTCATTCTACTAAACTCGTTGACTGATGCGGATTTGAAGTAACAATTCTTGTGTCATTCTGTTTTGTATTTTTATCTAATGATAATATTTTTTATTTATTTATTTTTTGTTCTGAATACTCATCATTCTAAGTTGTAACAGTCAACATGGATGTGTTTTTTTCTCGTATTGTTCATCAAGAATCACACTTTTAAGAAGTGGATCTGTAAAGCTGTAAAACCCAAGTCAAACGTAAATCATTATATGAATATACAATTTCGAATCATACATCTGAATTACCACTGATGGCAGGATTTCAACAGTATCTTCGGCATCCAAAACTGAGCGAATTTTGTGGCTCGGTATTAATTTGGCTGAAAAATATTTGCTTGGTTTAATGAGTGACGCGTCTCGGGACTAGCAATCATATATCTTGTTGTATGATCCCTGAGATCCAATGCTCCTGGGGTAGGTGCTTCAGTTTGATTCGCTGAGAAAGCCATCAAATCCATTCGCGATGATCAATGTTCCAGTGGAAGTAAGGCTCAAAGCTCTTTGGATTGTATGTTCCAGGGGAATTAATTCAGGTTGCACAGGACTGTACATCATTTAGCCACTTTCAATGTTTTCCAAGCATATTAATCAAGAGGCTAGAAGATGCCAAGCAGACATCAAGAAGAGACGCAAAAAAACAAATGGGTCTTTAAGAAGATTTTGAAAACAGAAACTCCGAGTCCTATCATTCAATGACTTAAAACAAAATACTATACAAATATAACACCTATAACACCTATTCCAATCAGCTTCATAGGCTATCCAGAACACAAGAAATCAAATAAATAGAAACATAAACTTGTTAAAAGATTTCAAAAAGACTTGAAAGATTCATGAGTCATTAAGTAGTATTCGTCTTGATGTATAATTTCAAATTCATTTAACTCCAAGTAGTCGGTCCAAACCCGTCTTGTGGTACCTCTTTCAAAGTACATTCTTGACCATCACAACCCGCTGAATAGATCGTATTCCCTACCTGTGGATTGAGAAATCGGATCAGTAGGTATTTTGGCTTTGTATGGATCACAGGGCAGCAGGATTTCGACTTGAAAGGAGGTTTGACATACCCAATCATAATCTTTCCCATTCATTTGAAATGCAAAAAAGTAAATCAAACCAAAGATTGCAATCCCTCCACCTATTCCTGCTGTAAGTGTAAGAGCGTATTTTTCTAAATTTGAGAAGATTTGTTTGTTTTCATGAAAAGTCGAATGAGAGTTCAGGTTCATGTAAACAAAAAGTGTTAGATTCTCAAAATGAACAGAGAGTACTTACCATACCAAGCTGTGTAACGTCGTTTTACAAAGTGTTGGAAGAAAATAGCTAGTGGAATAGCAGGACTTAGTAAAATGATTGAAATTGAACCAAAAAAAAGCTTTTTAGTCTTGAGTTTTCTATATGTATATTTAAAGTCGATATTTTCACTCACGTGTAATATGCAATACTTAAAGGAGCATAAGCTAAAAGTCCAGAAATGATGACAGGTGTATGTACAAATTTCCATCCAGCACGAGGGTATTTTTTAGATAAAGCCCAAGGGATAAAAGGAGCAATGGCTCCGATCCTGAATTTTGAAAAGTTTGAATGTAAGGTTTAAAATGAGTCATATAGTTTCATGGGGTATTTTAAAAACCTGAATCTAGACTTACAAGAATCCATACATACAGAATTTGTATAATGCTCCTGAGTTGGAGAACATTCTAGCTGGAGCAACTAAACCCCAAAGAACAGATGCTAGGATTTACCGATAGGCAGGTTGAGAAAAGAGTCAATATTAGGTTTGCTTCTTCTTATCATGACTGAGATAAGGTGAATGGAACAATATCCTGATACAAAAGTCAAGGTTAGGAATCAAAAGCTTACCTGTAAAGTAGCTTCCGTAAGCTGATAAATAGGATAGGACAACTAAATCAGTCCCATAATTCTCGATAAGGATCTGTTGATTACTTACTTGGACATGTGAAATGGAGTCGCTGCGTTGGTGAACAGAGATCGGGAAACTGTGCAATTTGCCAGTCGAGTACTATGGGATCCAATCAATTAAGCTACATTCTCATAAGATTTGAGAGAAGTGTAAGATTGACGAACCAGCCATGGAAACGAAAGCAGACAACACAGTGGCAGCAGTTTGGCCTGCGAAGAGGGCCTTTGGTGGGATCTACATATTGGCGCCAATTTCAGCCCTTCCGATATAAACTTCATGAAATGTAGGTAAAAGCTCACTTTGACATAATGAGCAAGCTAAGACGGAATAAAGATATGCGAAGGCAGAATGATCAGTCATGGTTTATATATACATTCAGTAGATGTCCTTCTTACTTTCATGTCTGAAGCATAGCTAAGAGCTTGCGACATGGTGACAAATCCATATGCTGCAAAGTTTGGGGGTGGATGGTTAGTTATATAGACATGAAGTTGCTAGTCAGAGATTGGATACTCACACTTGAAAAGCATGTTTGCGATGGGTCTTGAGAATGGTATGTTTGAAGGTCGATGATTTTTTATAGCAATTCAGGAAAACAAAATAAGAGTCAGGACTATGTTTTAAGTGAATCTTTACATTATAAAGAATGTCGACCCACCGTCCAGCCAGAGCATAACCCCCAATAAGTTCGGATAAGACCTGTAAGGAGTTCGATCAGCCAAAAAAATAACTTTCGAAGTATTCAAACTGGGATTCTGACGTTAAGAGGAGCAGAAGTAGAGGCCACCGCTTCCACTGCAAAAGTTTATTTTTCAGAACACATATTTTCTTTAGCTGTGAACAAGACCTAATGACTCACTGATGCCGCTAGGAATAATAAGTAGTAAAGCTATCGCGTAGGCAAATACCTGTAGAGAAACATAAGTTTGAGAAACGAGGAGGTACATCGTTGATTTGGTAGATGCTTACAATTCCCCAGATCGGCATATCCGTTTTGCTACATTAGGTAGGAACACGGTGGTGATAAACATGTTAATTGGATTGTCATGAGCAAAATGGACTTATCAACAGACGAAAAGCTTACTAATATTCAATCATCAAGACTGCGAGCGTGACCGCAATCACGCCAATAAGCATGAACCACCATTCGGGAACTAACTCAAAACAAGAAGATTATGAGCTATCCCAAACAAAAAGGAGATGTATTTATTGGTTATACCTTCTGGATAAGCCTTCATGAGTCTATAGTGAATGTCATCCTGAGTGTTTTCCATCAGTCTTTCTTTTTCCGATTTTTGCGTAGGGCTTTCCGTTGGACGAAATTTCTTGAAAAGTCGACTGGCTTTCCACGAGGAGACAAAGTAGTAGTATCCTCTCATGAAATATTTACGATAGTGAAGAGCCGCGTGCACTAATGTGCTAGAGTAGAGAGCCATGAAGCCAAAGTAGCTGAAGAAGAAAGAATTATGATCAACGTTGAGTCTGCAAAGTATATGATTCTTGGGAAGTTGATTCAGAGGAAAAAATACTGACAGGACGGAGTGAGATGCAGACATGAATGGTGGAGAATAGGCTTGATACTGAGCCTAAAGCATGATATCGTGATGTCAGTTAGGGTAAGTTTGATTCCTTAGACGCTGCGCGACATTTACCTCGTCCAGAACACCATGTTCATTAAGAACTCGGCTTGCATTGTAGCGTTTTCTGGTAATACACACAGAAAAGGGCAGGTTGTGAATAAAGAGCCTCATGTTATCAAAAGGATATTAACAACACACCCCATTCGATCGAAAACACCTGATGGAGTTGTAAAGATAGATATAAAAGTTATTTCAGCTGCTGGTAAATTCAATTCGGTAATCTTTATGTCAAGGATACGGCTTACCGTTACTGTTAACAGGCAAGTACGCCGTGAACATCATGTTTTTGAAGTATATAACACAGATGATCACAAAGCCAATCAACATGCCACCATAGGAATTCAACTAGAAATGGTAGGATCTCATTAAATTGGCTGATGACGAGCAAGAATATTTCAACGAGTACTTACAATGGACCACAGAGGAGTGACTATTGGATCGGTGTACATGAAATTCCAGTCCAGAGTTGGGAACGGATTAAGACCCAAACCGCTGACAGTCCCTGTGATGATGGCGAGCTTAACATTGTTGGGGGCGATCCATGTAGTCCAACTGGGAATGTATATATTCCATAAATGTGTGCGCAAGCTTTCGGAGTAAAAGAAGAACTTACTTGAAGTAGGATAGACTTTGGAAGAATACATCAGGTAAGATGAAGTCTGGATATATGTCGTATCGTTAAAAGTTAGATCTTGGTTTATAGAATATGAGCTAAGGGCTTACAAATCCCATATATGATCTAGATATTTGAATGGTTTTTTAGTTAGAATTTCATCAAAGATTTTATTGGAAAGAAAGGAAATGTAAATTTACCCCACATGCGAAGAAAAAATTCATTCGCGAGATTTTCCAACCGTGGACAGGTAGATTATCATCTTTAGCATGCAAGGCACGCAAAACTGTGATTTCCAAAAGCATATCCCACCAAACCTTGATCACAAAGAATGGGTTCAGAAACAGATCTTCAAGGACGCCATGATAGACAATGGGTAGCTCACCATCTCTCGCGGGTACACTAGAAATCTAATCATGAAATTGAGTTGTAAGATAATTTGATACCGCCTCGTTTGGTCTGATTTGGATTTGAAAGACGCAACATACCTTCTGGTTAATCCGGCGATTGAATAGCCCATCAGTTGTGTACTGAGAATCAAAGTCAGCTGAAATCCAAAGGTTCCAGCCAAAGCATCATTGTTGTAGAACTCCTTGACCCTGAGTACCGCAATCATATCCGATGCCTATCATTGAAAAGGTGCCAAATTCGACCCTTCAACATCCATGTTTTGATACATATTTCATGGTTTTCATGACTTACGTATGCTCCTCCCCAAGAGGCATTGGCCATCTGAAAGTAAAAGACGCGGTTTTTGCTTTAGCATCGAATGACTTCTTAAGATAGGTTTGGTGAAAACGCACGATACTGATGAGCATATGCTCCTTCATGCTTTATTACGAAGAGAATAGTAGGTAAGAAACAGGGAATCTTCCATTAGACAAATAGATCCTAAGCTTAGAATAAGTAAGATACATCAGAAAATCTTACTTGAAGGGGCCAGGATTCAAAGTGAAGGAATATTTTCCAAAACCAAAGACTCGGGTTGGCAGGATTCTAGCCATCAAGCCTGAAAAGAAAAATCGTGATAGAATCAATTTGAAGTACTCTCCATACTTTATTACAGATGAAGACAAACTCACATCCTAGAGGGAAAGCAACCATCTGCGCAAAGGTGACAGACAGATATATTCCTGGTAGTCTGGGCGCGAAGAACTGATTGAGACCAGTTCCTAGAATGACCAATATCAATCCAAGTGTCCACATCCTGTGAGAACAGATAGTTCAACTTCAGCTATAATAGATCAGCTCGTTTTATAGATATGAAGTACTCGCCGAAATGTCAGCACGGGTGTTGTGGGGTCATCGCAGGCGTCAACGCAAGCGCGGACCTGTCAACAGAAATCAAGACTTTGCTAAATGTTTTCCTAAAAATTTGAAACTTGTTCGTTGGCCAATGTATCTTTACCTCAGCGTAGGGTGAATTATCTTGTCCTAGTTGTAGCTCGGCCCGGATTTTCATGGCTATTTCATTAACTTCATGAGCGGGCACGCCAGGCTCGATTGCTTGGGCGGCTTGATGAAGAAGCCTCGAAGGAAAATTGAGATCATCTCTGACGTAAGCAATAGAAAGATGAAATGAGCTTGTAGGTCTCTTTGGGCAATGCGTTCTACAGCCTTCCAACAGTTGGTCATGACGAAAGAAGAAGGTCACGAACTGGTTTTCTTCAATCACAAGTCGAAGATATCGAATGATATCTGCCTGTTCTACATCTACGCTGCCGTCTTTGTAGATTTCCTTTTCACCGCGATTGGAGCTCAAATCCGAATGGAGTAAATCTGGGAGTTGGACTTCTGACGAGTTTGGGTTCGTGTGCTCAGGTTCGTTACCGTCCGCGCTGGGAGACTTCGGCCCTGTCTGAAGACCTTCCGGGTTGTTTATTTGTTCCTGCGTCGGCACATGAGCATTGTCCATCTTCCGAAGCTTGAGCACTCAAGTAACTAAAGGGGTAGAATGGGGGGTAACAACACCGGTGGGTAACAATGACCGTAAGAGACGTCGATGGAAGGACAATGTCGGGTGAACACTGGCTACGAAAGTTCGAGAGACCTCTGGCTCCCAAGGCTTGCTCCGCCTTTATGGTCAACACACACGGAAGGTTCCACCGCGTGTTGGCAAACTTACAGTAGGTCGGCATATACATGCTTCCAGATCTTAGTTCATCTCTTTTTTACATCGATAACGTCAAAGGGCTGGAGCCTGGAGACGTCGGCGTAGGGGTGGCACCGGCGCCATCCAATAGCTACTCAATTGTCTTACTAGATATCGGCATCGTTTGTCTCAGCTTGGAGCCCAATATCGGGGTAACATCCGCCCGACAAACATATACGCTAACATTTCTAAGAACTTCGTCAATTGTGTGGGGATCTTTGACTTTCGGGGAGGCAGGCTGCTAAAGGCCACATGATGGAAGGTCCTCACGAAAGGTCTAAGCCTATGTAAGGTCGGACCTTAAACGACTGGGGTGGCCGCTCACCTCAGAAGATACATAAAGATGTGTGATCACTGAAGATAACCCAGTTTTGTTGATTTCGCACGAAGCCGCTCTCAACGTCTTTCGATAGCGGGCCGTTCGTTTAGCCGCAGGAAAGGTTAAAGGGCTCGCGTTCATCCCTTCGGAATGTAAGACGCATTTTTATTTGACCATACAATTTCATCTTGTACATACGCTACCGATAAAGAGCGAAAGGTATGCCAAAGATGTAGAAGCCTGTATTGTTGTAGTTCTTTTCATCTTCACACCTTTGGTTTCTTTCCATTAGAAGAAACTTGCAAACCGGCAGAAGAGGCACCGAACGAGAAGAAAAGCAAAAAAAATAAAAGAGAAGTTATAATCAACATCAGCTGAATGTGCAGGAAATATCGCATGGGTCGATAAAATAGTTTTACCAACAAAAACCCAAAATGTACTTCAATTACAAATTGGACGCCGGCCGGCCATGCTGCGAAGCAAGCCGAAATTCACAGATCAAGCAGGCAGAAAAATTTGTGCAAGCCCCTTTCAGGTGAGTTGACTGATGAGACGAGTGACGAGGTCTACTGAGAATTGCAAGATTATCGGCGAAAGGAAGCTGGTTATTCAATCTTGGGCATTCAGTATGATCGCTCATTACCTTTCATTTCAACTTTGGTAGTTTCTGTCTCGGCGGACTTACGATGACAGATTCCCGCATGACCATCAACGTTGTTGGGAGTTCTCAAGCATCCAGTTCACGCCCTTTTGTCACGAGGTGGAGGCACTGTTACGGATGCCCCTCATTTTTGAGCAGCTTGCTTGAATGTTCTTGCTTCCAACCCAGTTTACGATAAACCATCACGAGTACGTGACGCAGTTGATGCACCGTGGTACTTGCCATCGAGTGATCTTCTGCATCTTTCAAACATCGGGGAACGTAGAAAGTTCGATAAACTACGCGAAGCCCTAATCCGAGTGTCTTTGAGGATCAATCTCGCAGATAACCCAAACAACATCGTTTGTACCAAATATATTGGCGGGACAAGAAAACACCCACCCAAAAAGCCTGCAGTAGCACTGGTGAATTCTTTTTTTGTTCCCAAACAGACATAAGCAATCTGCCAAAGGTTGTTTCTACAAAAAGAGCCGAATGCGACCTTTTGGGGGAGAACCTTTACAAAGATAATTGAAAGGCACTTGTTATATCTTGGAATATCTGATCTAGTAGAACTGTAGGCCAAGGCAAAGTTCAACCAAAGTAAGATTTAATGTTCAAAGGAGACGAGATGCTAACTTAACTAAGCCCACCTTCGACACGTACCAAAAAAACACAAGCAGGGCGTGCGTCCGAAGGGGACTTACCCCTAATGCTGTGATTCTTGGTGACAGAACTTGAAGCAATGGACTTTTGATGGTAGAAAAGAGTTCACAATTAAAACAATTTTATGCAATTGCGTGTTGTTGTGTGCTCACAGTATGTAGAAGTTATGGTTCTTGCGCATCTTTCCCTCGAGTCAGATTTTTTCTTCGTTTGAAAACAAAAGTTATTCTCAAAAAATTTACTGTTGACTTTCTTGTAGTTTTGTCTTGCAAATTTGTTGGTTAAGTGTGCTTGGGGCCCCGTTTGTTTGTTTTTGAAATTCCCAAAATACTCTTTTTGAACGCTTATACATCTTTGGATCATGATGGGACAAAAGGTTTCTGAATTGAGGAACAGATGCATAGGAAGCTGAAGCTTAACATATCCCAACATCACATAATTTCATAGTCACAGGATTCTTTTGATTATAAGCCTTGTTCTACCACTAAAAGGTCATTGCCTCTGTCACCATAAATCACGACATAAGGTGTCAGTCCCCTTTGGGAGTACACCCTTGTTATGTTTTTTTGGCAGACCTTGAAGTTGGACTCAGTCAAGTTAGAGGAGATGATGAGCTGTAGCCCCAAAAAGAGCAAAGAAAGGACAGGAAAATGTGATTTTTTATTGTAATCAGAATGTTTTGATGTCAATACCTTTGATGCCTGAAATCAAGGATTCTCTAGTTAGTGAACTTTTGTTAAACAAATGCAAGGAATGCAGCAACCAAGAGCAACCGCTAAAAGACACACCTGATTGTGGTGAGGGTCAAGGGACAGTAAGGAGCAGAGAGAAAGAAGAACCAGTAAAATACCAATGTTTGTATAAAAAGATGCCACATGAGAATTACTAAAGATATAGAAAAGCTGAAGAAAGTACTGCATAAGAAGCACACATGTTCCTGTGAGTCTGACTCAAGCGGAGACTTCAGGACTCTCCAGGGAATTTCCTCCGGCATGGGCATGCATGGGGAGAAGCGGAAGGCAAAGTATGTGGGCCAACCGGGCCGCATGCAATCTTGACCTTTGTATCTTAGCCATTTCCTTTTCAGATTGATAGGTTCAGGTAGCATCGGCCAGGAGAAGTTGAGAGAGGGTGCTGTTTGGAGTTGAAAGGCCTCGGAGTCGTGGGATGCCCGGTGACTGGGATGTGTATGGCCGGTACCCGGGCTCAGCCTCAGCCTTCACTTGACATCCAAGTTCGTATTGTGCTACTTTACATTTACATCAGCCGATAATCAAACGAAAAGAACATGAACAAAAAGAACACGAGGAATGAATGAAGATAGTAAAATTACGAAAAACTTTCAAAGAACCCAAAGGAAAGCTAGAACGTTAAAGGATTAACTAATTCAAACCGATCGAACGAAGATATTCTAAAATGTTACCTTCTCTACGTCTTCTGCATGGTATTGCTTGTCCTGACCATCGTCCACCTCATTCAAGTTGTTTACGTCAACCGTGCATCTTTTCTCATCAACATACTCATCTTCAATCGATTCAAACACCTATCACGATCCCTGACGAGACCACTATCACTGCTTCTCCAGTTCCTCGACTTAGTAAACGTGAAGGTCAATTAAAATCAAGTTTACTTAAACAAAGACAAGTGATCAGTAGACCTGTTACTCAACCTCAAGCTCAACCGCGATCTCAACCACAACCTCCACCGCAAAGTCTGAAATCTCATCCACCTTCAACTACACCTGCGGATTCATCTCGATCAAAGAGTTCTAGCGCGGCTCCCAATGCTCTGACTTCTCTATTACCACCAGATGCACCTCTCACACCACCTCGAATCCAAATCAACAAATCATCTAGCTCTCATACTGCCATTGCGGCACGTCAAAAACTACTAGATACACTTTATGCGGCTTTCTTATCATTATATGCGGCTTTACCTCAACGTGTTCAATTAGGAGCAGCACATAGAGATGCATTAAAACAAGAAGCAGAATGCTTAAAATCTACCTCAAGATTAACTTATCGAAATGCGATCATCAATATAGTGGCCAGATTACGTAAACGAAAACCAGCACCAGAAGGAAAAGAAGGAGTATTATATTTTACAGGTACTCTTAGTGAATTTGATGAACGTCAAATCTTATTTGAAAAACTCAAACTAGGTACACAAATGGCTTGGTTAGAACCTAATCGAATTGAAAAATATCTATTAACCAATGAAAAGATGATCGAATTAGATTATGTGATTGAATTACCAGATGAAGATGAAGATGTGGAAATTGATGCTAGTGGAACTGAACAAACTTGTGAAAGATGTAATGAATCGTTTGTGGTTTCTAGGGTTAGGTTACCTGGTGATGAAGAAGAATGTTCATTTCATTGGGGTAAACAAGTCTTTGAAAGAATTGACGGTAAGCTATCTTGCAAACAAATTGGATCAATCTAGAAAGCTCACAAAACTTGATTTTGGTTTGTGAATGATAAAGGTGTGAAACAGAAAGTCTATTCATGCTGCAATTCAATCGAAGCGGATAATAGACCATGTACGAAAGGACGCCATGTGTTTCTAGACAAAACACCCGAAATATTACACTCACGTGAAGCATTCATGAGATTACCACCGATTGGAGCTCAAACTACCATACCTTTAGTAGCTCTAGACTGTGAATTAGTTTACACAACAGCTGGAATGTCAATAGCTAGAGTCACCATCATTGTTCCTAAAACAACATCGGAAGGTGGAATCGAATTTGAAAGTTTATTAGATGAATTTGTTAGATTACCCAAGTCGGTGAAAATTATTGATCTTAATACTAGATTTAGTGGGATTCAATCGGAAGGTGAACTTGAAACCGCTAAATTCGATTTGAATGAATTAAGAGTAGAATTAGTTAACTTAGGTGTTGATTCTGGTACGGTGATTTGTGGACATGGATTAGAGAATGATTTAAAGGCTCTTCGAATTGTTCATCATAGATGTATTGATACGGTTGATCTTTTTCCGCATCCTAGAGGTATGCAACAACCAAACATGATCATTCTTTCATATTTTTTTCATTTCTTTGAAGAGTCTTGTTGTTTTGAACTGATTTTGATACATCTCTTTCTTGTGATTTTTAGGTTTACCAATGAGAATGTCACTCAAAAAACTTTCTTCTATATTTTTAAACAAAACAGTCCAGAATTCAGATCCTGAAATTGGACATGATTCATTTGAGGATGCTTCCATTGCTTTAGAATTAATTAAATATAAGATTGAACATGAATTATAAATCTTATTATAGTCAAAAGGTTTATAATTTACAATATGGGTCAATATGGGAGATGTTTTATGTTTTTTTTGCAACTTTGTTACAAGTAAGGAATGGTTTGTCTTCTTCATGATTTCTTTTGCATTGATTTGGTCCATAATTTTTGGTTTTATGGGTTCAGTAATTTATGTAGAAGCAGCTATGTATTAACTTCTTTGACTTGGACTTTTTTAGTTGAAAATGATATCATAATATCAAACTAATACTTTTCAGACTCTTTGCAAGTTTCAGAGAAAAATGCATGCATATGAAGAGACAAGGTTGAGCACAAAATGTAAAACTTGAAGATGGGCTGTAAAAGCCCTTCTTGAACTGCCCTATTCTTATTATACTTTGAAATTAATATTATTATATGTCTTGAGTAATTTTATAATTGTGCCTCTTCATCTTCATTGACCACCTCCTCTTCTTCTACTGTTGCTATTATACCTCTTGGATAAAATATTTTAATATGTTCTGCATATCTCCATGACAATTCCACATTTAATTCTTCCAAAATATAAGAACTTCCCATGTTTTGCTTAACAATTCTGACAGGTCCATTCCATCTGTTCTTGAATAACTTGCCCTCTATGTGCATTCTTCTTATTCCAATAAATAACTCCTTGCACTCTAGCCTTCATCTTCTTCTTATAAGCCTTATCAACAATATCTTCTCTGCAAAATAATTCTTACAGCCTTGCTTTCAATAAACCTTCACCCATGTAAATTTCATCCCAATCAATACCTAAAAACATTCCAGTCTCCAATTCAATAGGTAAAACTGTCACTTGATTAAATATCATCTCATAAGGTGAGATTCCCGTAGTTTTTTTTCTGGAAATCCTATCATCAAATAATACTTGAGACAAAAAATGATTTCCATATTTTTAAGGAATCTCATACTTTTGAAATTCCAAAGAATCATTTTAGTGTGATGAGAGTCAAATCTAATTCAATTTGATGCTCAACTCAAAAACCCTTTTACATTTTTTTCTTTCCAAATTAAATTCCATAAAACATACAATTACCTTGAAACTTTTCCCACAAACATATGTAACAAAATCTCAAATCTAAAAAACTCAAAAAAAAACCAAAATTCATTACCAAGTTTTAAAAAAAAACTTTAATAAACCTTTTAAAATTCAAGAAAAAAAAGACAATTCAAACCTTTCTCTAAATTTGATTGATGGATTGATGGATTGATTTGATTTGGTTTCCAAACAGAAAGAATAGTATATGAACTCTAGATACAAAAAGTAATTATCCTTCCAAACAAAACAACCAATTTCATTTTTTTTTCTTTGTAAACCTTTAAAACCTTAAATAATATACAAGACTTTTAGTATTTTTTTTATTTTGGCTTTTCCTTTCCAAATTCCTTTAAAGAGTCCTAAATATCAAACCTTTTGAGAGAAAAAAACAAAAAAAATTCTATCATCTTCAATCTAGATGAACAAGCAACAAAAAAAAAACCCAAAACACCCTGAATGGATCAGATTCATGATAATTATGTATCACCATCATGATCATTTCAAGTTTCTTTAATTTTGGCAATAGCTAATAAAAATCTAGCTACTACATTCTTTCCTTTCTATAAAGTTTCAGAAAAGAACAAAACCAAGTTCATATTAGTTAAGAACCTAATAGACTAAACAAAAGTGAAGATTCCAAACCTCCAAGTTAACCATCTTAATTCTTTCATTAGGTAAATGAGCCGAATCAGATGCAGCTCCCATAGGTAAATGAATGGCTTTTGCTTCAACTAAAAACCAAACCATCAATCAAACCATCAATCAATCAAAAGTACATATAATCTTAATGAATCTATAAGTCATTGAAGAAGGAATGAGAAATCAAAAAATCTTACATTCTTGTTCTAAGAATGGGATTCCAGGTATCGATCCACCTTCCCGAATCCATAAAGGTTCAGTACCCCATTCAGCTAAAATACTTTCACCAATAGCTTGAACATAAGGTCCTGATAAATCTCCTAACCACCATCCAGCAGTATGATTAATGGTAACCTATTCAAACACATCAAACATAACTCTTTAATCAAATTGTTCAAACTTTTCGACGTTAATTCAACTCACCTCTAATTTGTTCCTTGAGTTTAAATTCTCAAAGGCGGTTTCTAAAAAACTAACAAACGAACTTGAGATTTCTTCAAGTGATTGATCTGGTACGATTCGAATCGAAACAGCTGCTTGAGCTGAAGATGGGATCACAGTCGAATGAGCAGGTCCAGTGACATCTACTTTATGTATACTCAACGCTGGTTGTCTCCATCTGATATCAAGAAACAATCATCAACTCTCATGAGCCTTTGTACTTGAGTAATAAGAAGTCAGAGTGAAGTTGCTTACTTGGCTAATAAATGTGCTCTGGTATCAGTAATATGTGAATGTTTCAACAAATTCGCACTTTCATCACTAAACACATATAACAGGTAAATCAATGGTCAGCTTTGATATCCAAGATCAATTGTAAGCACATTCGAAAACAGATCATAAAAGACAACTGACCCATTTAGATGTTCAATGATAGCATCATACATTTTATCTTCTTCACTACTGATAGGTCTAACTCCTTCATAAAATCCATCTAATCGAATCTTTCCAACATCATCTACCAACATACTCAAGATTCTAACTAAATCAAGCACCGGTTCATGTACTGTTCCACCTTGCATACCCGAGTGTAGATCCGGTTGAAGACTTGTTACCTTTTTTTGCCCCACAAAGTACAAACAAATCAATCTCAGCCTAGTCAAGATTACTGAGCACCAAAGAATCAAACTCACTCTGGCAGTGGCATGGATTACACCTCGTAAACCAAATGTCATACATGGAGCATCATCACCAAGCCAATACGAGTTACTGTATCACGCCGAAGTTTCATATCAGTGTTTTGCAAGTCTCGCGTTTAAGTAGATGTAACACACCTGACCAAGATCACGTCAATATTACCAATAAGATCCTGTGTTCTAAACGCGTTAATGAATATGTTCTCTTGTGAAAACCTTAAAATTATCTTACTTACTTTGTTTTCCTGTACAGCTTTTTGAAACCCTGCACTACCAGCTTCTTCCTCACCTTCAATCAACATCACCACATCCACATCTAATGATTTCTGATCAACTAAAGTGGATACCGCACAAGCAACAGCTAAAGTAGGTCCCTATATAAACCTCAACGTTAACAAACCCCCAAATGATTTGGTGAAGAAAAAAAACAAGATTCAACTTACTTTATTATCAGATACACCTCGACCATACAACCAACCATTCTGACCGGTCATGACAAATGGTGGTGAACTCCAATCATTTACATCACCAGATTGAACTACATCATAATGTCCATAATACAAAACCCTTTTCCTAGGTCGAGCTGGTGGTGAAAGGGCTGATGATTTACCTGTAAAAGTGGCTAAAACTAATGGATTCCGATTCGGATCTCCAGGAAGCTGTTGAAATAAATCTTGTGAAGCATGAGTACATTGTTTTTTTCTGCTTCAAAATATTCAAATAAAAAAAGTCTTCTAACAAAACAACATCTCTTTTTGAGATATTAGATATGTTGGGAATTTACCAGTCTAGCATCCGCACTGTAATCGTTCGTGCATAATAATGATAGCAGAGAAAAAGGTCACGAGCAAGTCAGATTTTCTTTCTTTCTTCATCTTACTTCGAAGAATCCTACTTGGACTACAGATCAAGCCACTTACCCTAAACGAACGAGTGACTTTTTGAGATAAAGTGCAGCTTGTCGACAATCTTCCCGATGTAGATCATTACTGATAGACCGATACGAAACAAATTGACTTAAATGACGCAACATCCGACCTGAACCCAAACTTAATCAGGATCATGATTGATATCTCGTTATGAATGGTGATGTTCACTGACCTTGGAAAGCGATTCGAGCTGTTGAAACACCAGCTGAGTCGGTCAATGATAGTTGTAAATCACTTTGTTCTTCTGGATATACGTCCCAGACCTTTTGAGATGAGCGACCATGATGATGATGATGATGATGATCAGCTAGATTGTTCATAAGGCCTTTTAAGAATTTTTTGGCTGACACACCTTGATGCAATTATCGCTGCCTCCAGTAAGCAGAAGTCGTTTGCCATTATGAAAGGTGAAGCAAGAAGCTAATGCACTACCTTGATGAGATGTCCATTTCAATACACGTTCAAATGAAGAGTCCCATTTCTAACAAAATAAAGGATCAATAAACCTTCAGTAATCAAACGATTGAAAACCATCCAAAACAAAAAAAACAGGTGAAGGTGATACATACCACCATCATCCCACCAGCACAACCCGAAAACATTTCACCATTATCTAAAACGGTCATTGTAAGGATATCATCTAAAGATTTATCAAGAGAAGAATTAAGAGTAGGTTGAGAGATTCCACGATGAAAAAGAGTTCGAATACAAGTAAAAGTATCAAGATCCCAAATTTTAATTAAACCATCTTGATAACCTGAATATAAAGTAGAACCATGTACTGTCATTGTCAAAACTGCTCCTAAATCGGTTGCCAAACTTTTTTTAGCCGTCACATTGGGTTGTGGTGTTGTGATGGGTGTGACTGGATTAAATGAAGTAAGAGTTTTGGCTGGTGGTTTAAGAGCTCCGGATTGAGGATCGATTGACCAAACTTTGATGGTTGAATCACCAGCTAAATCGAGATCGGATTCCAAATAGAATTATCATCGGACAGATTGACACTGTGAGTTCTTGGGTTTGATAGGACTAGAGAGATTATTGAAAGAAAACGCTCACATCCAGATATCAGATAAGGTTGCTGATTGAGGTGAATAAGAAGAAGACAATAAATGTAACCGAAATGAGCATAAGTAACACAATCTGAATTTGAAATGAATAAAACCTCTATTCCATCTGTTTTAGAATGTGAACCTTGACTAGAAGAAAGATCATATGAAGCTTGAGCTTTAGGAAATCTAGCAAAGGTTGGACTCTCATCTGAAAAATGACTTGATTGTTGATTATGATTTTGATCTCGCCTTCTAGCGGCTTTTAATAATTCAGCTTGAGAAAGTGAATCAAAGAATTTATGATGATGTGCTGATCTAGTTGAATTATTTAAATTTCCAGTGGGTGTGACAGGTCGATTTGATCCTACTTCTGAAAGTAAGGTAGGTGATAAATTTAATTTTGATAAGGTATTTTCGATTGACTGAGTTTGAGAGATGATGGGACTGTGTGGTGAGATATCCGTTGGTCGTGAGTTGCATGATTTTGGAGTCTCCTGAAGTACAGAATTATGAGGCTTGGTAACGGGCAAGGTGATCCACTAAATCGAAAGACGCATCAAGAAACATCAGAGATTGGTTGAAATCTGTATGATGGATGATCAAGAGCAAACTCACTTGAATAGACGCATCTTGACACCCAAGATAGAGTACGTTAAGTCGATCGCACCAAGCTAAACTCAAGACATCGCCACAGCTATCGATAGGAGGCTTGATGATGTAAAGTGAAGGACCAAATCGAGTTGAATCCCAAACTCTGACCGTATTATCCCCGGATGATGAGAAGAGCAGAGATCGTTCGACTGAGATTGAAAGAGAGAGAACCGAAGATTCATGACCTATCAAACGAGTGATAGGAAAGAACGTATGTAGTGACCAGACCTAAATAGAGTCACCGAGAGAAATGAGCCAAGAGATCGAATGCGATGTTTGACATGTTTTTTAGAGTAGGAACGTACATGAATATCTCCAAGTTGACTACCGCCAAAGACATGACCAGCACTTGGATCGGCTACGAGACTCAATACGGATTCCTTATCTTGACTTGAAAGAGTGGTAAGTAAGGTCAAAGTGCTCATGTTGAGAGAAGGTTACTTGGTGATGATCGACTTGAGCTTGATCTCCGTCAAAGGTCACACTGCTGGTCCTGATGAAGTTCCCAAGAAATGTTAGTGAAAGTGCTGATGAATGAGAGAGCATTAAGTTTAGAATGAGGTTACTTACTTTTTCTTTGATAACCCAATCGGAGTGATGAATTGGTTTTGTAAGTTGAATTCAAATGAAATCTGAACTTCAAACTTGAAAGCAAGTATACTGATGACTGCCAATGCTAGTGAGTGTGATTGTGTATTGAACTTCCTTTCTTGCTCAAAACCCTTCCTCACAATTTGTTCATGAAGATTCTAAAGTGATAAGACTCGATCACCCGATCAAACTGATTTGATTTGATTGGATATTGTTTACATTCTATTGACCTTCAAATGGTGATCCACCTGAGATAATCTTGAAGAAGTGTCCATGTGTTGCTGGTGATGTGGTGATCGAAGGGTCTGATGACGAAATTCTGTTGCATGAAATGCTTCCAGGTTGATTTGACACCTCCTTGGATTCACCATCACTGTTTCTTCAAGCTAATCTTGAAATGAGAGAACTTCTCTTATCACCATCAACATCCTTCACAACAAAGCCTTCAAGATCTCATCAGTCAAATCATTTCTTCTTCTTCTAATCTTGATTTAATTGATGAAAAAAAAACTTCCAGTCCAGAGATTAAACAAATTAAAAATCCATCTGATTTTATGTATGAAGTACTATATATCTTTCTCAATCAAGCAATAAGAAACAAACGTGTGATGTTTTGTGCTGGATTTACAATGTCCGCTTGAATTTGAAACCTTTGATGCAAGATTGACAGATTCTTCTTGTAGGGTACACTGAGATCAAGGCTCAACTGGAACCATCAAATGTATTGACTTCTGATGATTGCATTCATACATACCGCTTGTATCACCCATCTATTTCCAGTGATCACATGAAGAGAATTGTAAGAGATCCCAAATAGATGAAGAAGGTTTAGGTTTGAGTTCTTTTTGGGGTATTTAATTACTGGTTAAGCTGATGAAGAAATTCATTTGGGTGACTATCTTTTAGACTACATAAACTGCATTTGAGTGAGACTTCAAATGAGTATGAGTAAGTACAATGAGTATTAGAAGAAAATAACTGAGAAAAGAATCCCTTCACATTTGTCTGAGCAGGTAAATTGGATGATCAAGGGTTGATTGATCAAGGAGTCAATGCAACCTACTTCAACTTGGGTTTCCAGATTGAAGCTCATTGATGACCTGAGGCTGTATGTACTTCACGAGCATGGCACTTTTTCGTAGGACCTTCTAAAATCCGAAAGCCAACATAGTCGAGTTTGATTCATAGAAAAGGTCAATTAGGAATCCGTCAATGTCGTCTGGTTGACCGTAAATGAGTTCTCAAAGTATTCTCTGAGCATTCCACTCCATGGTGGTCGAAGAAAATGTAAACTTTTCTTTTCAAAATTCAAGCTCTCTCCAAATATCTAACTTGATATGTATAGAAATATGCAAAATCACCAAGACAAGCAAAGGACAATCTGATTTGTTATTGGGAGTGATACATGACTGAACAGGAAGCACTTCATTCATTCATCATACAACCACTCCAGTAACTTGCGGTATTTTTGAGTGAGGGTTTGTTGCTTACCTTCCGTGATGCCAAAGATTGAACTTCACGGCCAATGAGATATAGTAGTGATGATCAGAATAGAACCATCAATTTTTTACGGGTACGAATGAGACATTGAATTATCAGAACGAGTTGCTAATTGGATAGGAAGACAAATGAAAAAAATCAAAATTGGTACGAAAAAAATAAACTGAGAATGAAATGATGTACATGAGTTAAAAACAACAAAAATTGCGAGTCAGAAGAATTCATAGTTGGTTACATACTCTTGAGGTAGTATACAAAAAGGAAATCATTCAAGAATATCAAGAGGTAAAAAAATAGGACGCCACTATTCGGCGCCCGGTCGAGTAATATCCGAAGCCCGCTTTTTTCGGTGCTTTACCCGCTGAAATCATTGTTTTTTCGGAGAACCCGGACCCGCCACAGCCAAATTTGGCCGCAGCCGCGTCACACCCGGGCTTATACAGCAGCTTATGCCCGATCGGGGAAAACCGGGCTCAACAAACCCTCAGAAGAGGGCACGAGTGGGCCAGAGTGGGCATCCAAGCCCTTCAAAGTGGGCATTTGTGTTCTCAACCCGGGCTACAACATCAAGCACCCAATCGAGCAAGACCCCACTTCCCAATCGAGCAAGACACCACTACACTTCCCTCCAAAACAACCATACAATCGACTTACAACAACCACAAGAAACGTCCTAAAGGTGCATGAGCCGTGGCTTTCCCAACATGGTAAGTTACCTGTTCACATTTGTCTCCCGCCTTCTGCGATTTCTCAACGCTGACCATACCAACGTCTGTTCACAGCCGTCCTTCACCTTCATTCACTTGCCTTGTCTGTTTAACTCATCCGACCCTCCAACATCCAAACCTCCAATCTCGATCTTCATTTATGTGACGATGTCTCAACCCGGAACCGGACCCACCAATGCTTCGATTGGAAAAAAAACCTTGTTGAACCGTCCAGGCTACCCTCCTTTCTTTCCTCCACCGTTACCCTACCAACATCCACCTGTGATGTATCCTTACTGGCCGCCATATCCGTACCCAAGTCACAACAATAGTGAAAATAACTCTGCCCCTCCCAATTGGCAATGTCCTCCCTATCTGTCACCAAATCCTTATGCTTATGGATCTCAGTTACCTCCCTCATCTTTTCATGATACGGACGACTTTGATGAAGCAGTTACTCAAACCGATTCCAAAATTGATCCCATCAAGCCCGAGACAAGCATCAAATCAGCTGTATCTCAACTCGCTCCCACCATCGAAGAGAAGACTGCTACCACTAGTTCGAGCACTCAGATCATCAACACAAGCACCAATTCGACTGTATCTCATCATCTTGCCCCCATCGATGAAAAAACTTCAACCAATTGGTCAAACGGTATGAACATACCCTTATTCAACCAATCAGCACATGCGCCAAGTGAACCAACTGGTCAAATGCCAATACCCAATCAGCAAGAACCTGATGAGGATGATTTCGACGTGATTGACCTTCAAGCTGAACGGGACGAAGGATGGCCCCCAATAGGTATGTTCAATTCACATAATTAGGAGGTGAACAACATTTGATCATTGATTTCATAAGAATGATTTTCATTAGGAGATGAACCGGTTCGTATGAAGGAATCACCACGAGGTGGACAACTATTAGCAACGATAGAAAGGGGGATCATGCACCAGAACGCAGTAGATACACATAAAGGCTACGGGATAGCGATCAAGACCCACAAGGGCGAGAAGACTCGTGTGTACTTCAGGTGCGCACTC